TTGGATTTCCTTGACAGTCTGAGGCGGTCTCAGGCTTATTATGGATTCTATCTGCTTTGGGTTTTCTTCTATTCCCCTACTGGTGATCAAGAATTCCAGGAATTTTCCTGCCTTTGCACCAAACACGCACTTGAGCAAGTTTATTCGTAGGCGCTCCTTTTTCAGACTTTCAAAAGTCTCCCTTAGATCCTTCAAGTGGTCCTCTTCCTTTTTGCTCTTTACTAGGACATCATCGACATACGCTTCCACGTTTCTTCCTAGCTGGCTCTTGAAGACCGCATCTATCATTCTTTGGTATGTCGCCCCTGCGTTCTTTAGGCCAAATGGCATGACCGTGTAGCAGAAGTTTCCCATGTGGGTCATGAAAGTGGTCTTCTCTTGATCTTCCTCGGACAAGCGGATCTGGTGGTATCTCGAGAACATGTCTAGGAAGCTAAGACTTTCATGATTGGCGGTTGCATCGATGAGCTGATCGATTCTTGGCAAAAGATAGGCGTCCTTTGGGCAGGCCGCATTGAGATTTGTGAAATCTATGCACATTCGCCATAGTCCGGAAGCTTTGCGGACGAAGACTGGGTTTGACAGCCAAGTTGGATACTTGACTTCCCTTATAAACCCAGCCTTTAGCAACCGCCTTACTTCCTCCTCCAGTGCCATTTGTTTTTCCAGGGAAGCGGTCCTCCTCCTCTGCTGAATGGGCTTCGATTTGCTCTTCACCGACAGGTGATGCTCGGCGAGCTCCCTTGAGACGCCAGCATGTCCTCTAAGGTCCATGCGAACAAATCTTTGTACTCTTTGAGGAGCGCCAACATCTCTCGCGCTTTTTCCTCTGTGAGGTGGGAAGAGATTTTCACCTTCTTTTTAGGTTCTTCGTTGTTGAGCACCACTTCCACGTCTCCCTCTACTGCCTCTGGGAGGGGATGCCCCCCTCGGGTATCCATGAGGTCGACCTCCAAACTTTCTATTGTTGCCTGATAACATTCATTTGCCTGCTCTGTGTTTCCTCTGACCCGTCCTACTTTTCCCCCTGCTGGGAATTTAAGCATCTGGTGGCAAGTGGAAGGGACCACGGAGAACAGCGATAAGAAAACGCGTCCCAAAATTGGGTTGTATGCTGACGGGCAGTCTGCTACATGGAAGTCCATGGTTTGGGCTTTCGTCACATTTGCTTCTCCAATCGTCACCTGTAAGGTGATCAGGCCCATCACTCTAATCTTTGACCCCGAGAACTCTACGAGGCTTGTCGCCGACGGCTTAAGATCCTGCATGCTCATTTTCATGCTCTTGAGGGTGGAGTAGAATAGTATATCCGCCGAGCTTCCATTATTAACTAACGCCATTGTGACCTTGAATTTCCTTGTTCTCATGGAGATGACTAGCGGGTTTTCTCCGCTTTCGTCTGGCGCTAGCTCGGAGGGCAAAAAGCTGATGTCCACTTGCTCACTCCTATTAACATTTAGGGTTTGGACTAGGCGTTCTCCTTCACTTCTTTGCCGCTTCCGACCGCCCGCGTTGGTGATGACCTCTACATCATCATCATTAAGTCGAGGGGGATCTCTCCCTTCTCGGTGACCTCGACCTTCTACGCTTGGGTTGCGGGATCTTCTCCTTGGGCTCGGTGACCTCTCTCTATGGTGCCTCTCCTCCTAGCGATCTGGCCGTGTATCCAAGCGGCTTTTGAGATCTCCGGGCGCCAAGTATTTTAAACTGGCCCTGAACTCCTGACACTCTGTGGTGTCATGGGTGGGGATTTTGTGCCAGTCACACCACTTTCGGTCATCCTCTCTCCTATGCGTCTAGTGCGCATTGTTGTTGTCGCCTCTCCTTTCTTTACCTTCTTCTCTGCTAGTGGCGAAAACTTCCCTCCGGTTGTCTCGGTGGGCAAACCGTGGTTTGTAGCTGCGCCTTTCTGGTGACCGCCCTCTTCTTTTGGGCGATCCTCCCTTCTTTTTATCGGACTTCTCCCTCGTGCTGACACGCATAGTAGCGTTCTCCATGATCATGGCCTCCTCCAACAGAATTACCTTCCTCACTAAGCGATCAAGGTCGGGCCACTCTTTCAGGGCATGTTCTTTCTTGATGAGTGCCCTTCGCAGCTCACAGCTATGTGTTGACATGCGCAGATTTCCCGCCGCCATGCTTGGCGATATTCCTTATACTTCGCACGCTATGGTGTTCCACCGATCATAGAAGTCGGTTCGCGATTCTTCCACACCTTGCTTGTAGTAAATGAGCGTTGAGACGGTTAGCTTCCTCCTGCGTTTGGACGCAAACTTTGAAGAGAAGAGGGTAGCAAACTGCTCAAAGTTTTCGATTATTCCCTCGGGCAGGGAGGTGTACCAAGTTCGGCAGTGACCACCAACCGTGACCGGGAACGCCTTACACAGATCGGCGTCTGTGGCGTTGATGAGCTGCATCTTCAGCATGAAAGCGCTCAAATAGTCGGCGAGATCAGAACTGCCATTGTACGTCGGTAGCCCGAGTGATGAGAAGTTTGGGGGAACCTGGATTTTAAACAAACTTTTGGCCAGTAGGTTCTAGAGGATGTTGTGACCCTTTGCCTTTCCATACGAGGGCTTAAGATGTTCCTCCAAGAATCCTAGGCTGAGATCTTCTGTTCCTTCATCTTTGTCAGACTCCCCGCCTTCTGTCTGAGCAGGGCTGTCGGGGTCTTCCTCTCTTCCCTTTCCTTTGGCTTTCCGCTTTCCTGAGCTCTCCGGCGCTTCGCTTCCCTTCTCTTTGAGCATGGCCAAGATTTGGCTCAATTTCTCTTGCATGCTTGATATTTGCTGCCCTTGACTTTTGACGCGGTCTTCCATTTCCATTTCTTCCTCCACTATAGGCATTTCCATTCCACGGATGTCGCTCATCTGCGCTTCTTGACCACGGAAGTTGCTCCTCTCTACTACGCCTTTGACGGGGGTGTTGGAGCTCCCATCCATCCTTTCTTCAGTACTATGCTCGCCCCACGGTGGGCGCTAAATTGTTTGAGCCTAGAATGTTCCAGGCGGTTTGTGAAGAACGAGCAAGGCGTCTGTTCCAGATGGTGGGTGTACTCCAAACTCCTGCAAAACAAGGGTCTGTGGGCGGTTGCCCAGGACACCCTCCGATGCCTAAGTTAGAGATAGAATAAGAATGTATTTAAATGCAGATATGAATGTATTTATAGTGGGTTAGCCTGGGTTTTGAGCATTAAATGCTATGTCAGGCGCCCTAGGCCAGTCCATGCTTTATTTAGACCGCCTGCGGCGGGCAATTAATGCCCAGTCCTGCAGTGTTCGAGGCGAGTATCCTAGGAAGATCTCCTTCCTCTGTCAGCAACGACTCTTTGTGTCAGGCGGCCTACTCCCTGTCCCATCATAGGGCGCCCGCCTGCCATTCTCTTTTCCCTATGTCCTACTCCCTGCGGTTGCATATCTACCATTTTAAGAGAGGGCGGAGAGACCCGAACTAAGAGCTGAAAAGGTGAGGTTATGAATTAGCCAATTAGGGAAAGAAATTGTTTAATTAGGGAAAAAGAGGAAAGAGAATTCTTCAACTTCCGAGACTTGCAAAGAGGAGGGAGGGAAGTGGTGGGAGGGAGTCTGGGAGACGAATAGTCGGAGCGAGTGAGTTTGTTAAGCGAGCCGTTCACCGTAGGGGTGGGCATGCGGTTCGGTTTTACCGAACCGAATACAAACTGACCAAAACCAAAAAAAAGTTATTAGGTTCGAAATTTGGAAGGGAATATGCCACATTTCGAGAGCCAGGTTCATTTAAACCGAACCGAGAAACCGAAATTTCGACCGAAATTCCCAAATGTAAACTGCACCAGCCTAGCCCAAGTGCCCAACCCTCTCTCCCTTCCCTTCCTCACACAAATTTAAGCCTCACTCTAGCCCAATGCCCACCCACCCACCCTCCCAAGCCCAACTCCATTATCTCTACTCTCCATCGGTTAGATTCCATCCATTGTGTTCGAACTTCGACTTAAACCTAACCCTAGCAATTTACAAAATCGCAACGCAAAGGAAATGAACGAATGAAGCAGCCAAGAGCAGAGAGTCGCAAATATAAATCATAATTAAAGCCCAAGTATAAACCTTAATTGGGTGCAATATATGGCAAATATGTTTAAATGTAGACTCGGGCCAGTTCATGTACCCCAACTTCGATTGTTTGAAACATTATCTAGCGGTTGATTTTTAGTGAAAATAACGATCAGTAGCTAAAACGTTTGGAAAAGTAAATGGATTTGACACTAATTGAGAAGGCTTCACTCGAGTGTTGCTCCCCCTAGCTAACAATTATGACTTGTCGAATCGAATGGTCATGTGTGGTAAGGTGGTTGTAAATCGCAAGGAAGTGCAACAAGTAGCCAAACACCACTCTCATGATATCTAGGTCGAGGGAATTTGATTCAAGCCACTAACGTGACTCTCCCGACCTATTGAATAATGGTCGCCAAGACTTCACCCTCGAATCGGAGTTCAGACGACCACCCACAACCAAACCGTAGGTGCTAATACGAACTAAGAGGGTTTCCCTACATTAACCTAGATATGAGACAATGAATTGTCTAAGAAAACCCAGCTTTGTAAACCTCTTTCAAATAAAAGGGGGGGGGGGGGTTTCTCTCTACCCAGGTTAGAATGACAATTAGATTGATACGCTTTCATACAACACAATCATTCATGAATAATACCTCCACATTCACATTAAACACAACCACAAACAAATCATTCAATTCATACAAGCATTCACATAATTGTAGCTAGGGTTTACAAACACCCAAGTGAAAGAAGGGACTACTCCGTGCTAGGAGAAGGGAAACCATCAATGAGATGCTATCCTTGCTCCTTGTGTTGAAGAGATCCTCCTTTGGGGGAGGAATTCCCAAATCCTTGCTTGAACATGAAACCCTAGCTTCTCCTCTTTTTTGGTTCGTCACTTTCTCACTTTAGAAATCTGAAGAAGAAGAAGAAGAAGTTTCTCACACTAGGTCTTTCTTCCTTTTCCCTTTAGGTCAACCTCCTTTATATACCCAGACCGGGCTCAAATCACGGTCCCAGTTCACGGTCGTGAACTGAAAGCCCGGAGCGTGATCTCAAGTCGAAACGCGCTGCATCACTTAGTCCAGTTCACGGGCAATGGCCTGAGTTCACGGTCTTATGACTGTGAACTGACTTGTGTCTAGTGAAAGCAATTTGTGCTCTTAATGCTTGGCTGTTCACGAGTAGCACCTCCAGTTTTTGGTCTTAGTGACCGTGAACACATAGCCCAAACCGTGATCTGCTGCTGCTTCCACCCTTTGTCTTGATTTTTCTCCCTTTCGTCCAACTTTCGACTCCGGGGTTGGTTCCACCTGCCAAAGTCTGAAAAAACCAAAACAAATCAAAACCCGACGTAAAAGCAAACCTCCTGGAGTAAAAATGCTTCAAACGACTAAGCAAATCGGGGGTAAAAAGTGTACAAATGAACCCGAATCAGACACCACCATCACAAAAACCTTCCCCTGCCCTCTAGCTCTAGGAAATCTAACACTGTCGTAATGAACCCTTCTTAGCACCATGAATAGGTGTCCCTCGTCGTTGAGCCCAAGCCACTGCAGAACTCGTCGCGAGCGACGCATAGTTGGTGAAGTGATAGGTTCGGGAGATTGTCCATGTCGTCGTGGAGTGAGATGAAAATTAATGGCAGGCTCGGCGGTCGTAAATGGTGAGGTCAATTTTTCAGCGACCGTTACTCAAAACTCGAACCATATACACAAACAAAGCGATTATGATTGGGTGATTAGGGATTTCTCCATGAAAAGATTAGAGTTCCTAGATTGGGGATTTCTAAATCCACCACCGTCAAGACCTTTTGAATGGCCACCTTCGTCGTTAAAGAGGGCCGATGAAACCTTCCCCCTGCTTCCTCTCGGCTCTCGTCACCGACTGCCTTCGATGCTTCTTGCCTCCCTTTGCTCCTTCTCGTCGACGGGGAAGTAGCGGACATTGTAGTCCTCATAGCCTTCTTTGTATGTTATAGTCTTTTCTTATGATAATCGGTCTCAAATTTGTTCGATTAAGATATTTTATTTCATAATTAATAGAATTTAAATGGAATTACTTTGATAATTACTAATGACATGATAAAAATTTGAACACAACACCCCTACAAGTCAACTCACCAGCTATAAGATACACGCAGTTCTTAGAGACCAGTGATGGGGCGGTAAACTAGATTTCTGTTTCTTGAAAGGAGGCCTGGATCATCCTACCAACAACGCAAGGTTAGTAGCTAAGCAACGAAAAGTTAAAACGTTATGAAAAAAGCTCTGTTACTTGTACAGTTTCAGTAGTAGAAGATGAATACAGAATAAAAATGGTTTTAGCCGCCTCCTACATACAAAGACCATAGTTGTGCGAGCTTCTATCAGAATTACATGTTGATACTACTCTAATGATTTATCTCCACCTACCTACTTCTGCCTGTTTCAGTCTCTCCAGCAATAACAAAACCGTAAGATCAACTGACTTTGCTTCTGCGCTTGACATTCATAACATCGTATATTAATCAAAGAATAACTTGGCAACATCAAATAGCTGGTTCCTTGCAAAAATGCTTCATCTGCGTTTTGGAATTTCAGCCCATAGGGAATGTACAGAGCATACCATGCCCAGGGTTGTGCTCCAGAGGGTACAATGTTGTGCCTTTTACTGACTTCTGATGATCAATAGCAGCTTTTCTCAGACTAGAAATAGCTGTTGGTGGCCTCCTAACTTGTTTCTTTATTTCACATGCTCTCAGTGGGTCTTCCGAGCCTGCTCCAACCCTCCTACAAAGACAAATAGAGCATATGGATGCGCACATACAGAATGATAAATATGCTAATCAATAAGTACACTATTAGGAATCCTGTAATTTTTCCTATTTAAGAGGTTTATGCAGTTTGAAAGTTAAGCATAACGTGACAAGCATTGAGTTCTAATCGCCAGAACTTGTTCAACTGAATACAAAGTACTTAGTACAAGATATCGTTGGCCAGACTTCAATTTTATCAAGTGGCAGCCACATGCTGATGAAATTTCATGATAATTAATGGTGGTAGAGTTCTGTCAAAGGATATAATACACTTCATTCAAGAAAAGAACAACTACTATTGCATCACCTCAATAGTTTCTCTGACACAGTTCTAGCAGCAAGAATAGTACTCTGGCTTGGAACCCATTTCACAACACGGTTGGGATCAGCTCGCATGGGAGAGTGAATCTTGATAAGCTGTAAAATATAGAGGCAGTCTAGGTTATCAAGTGTTGAAAAAATAATTTTCCTCCCAAAAATGATAATTGGGGGGAGTCGAAAGGGAACTTACACCGAGACACTCCATCATCTGGTAGTAAGCCCTCCCATGGAGAGGAGTGTGACCCTTCCGAGATTCCGAAAAATATCTAGTCCTGAAAGAAATTTTGAAGTAACTTCAGGCAAAAACATCAAACTTACTAGTTTTCCAATAAAAGGTGATGACTATTAATCCCCTCGTATACCATTCTTTGTATCCCGGATCTACAGTGAAACCATACATGTCAACCGATTCACACATAGATAGAGCAAATTCAAGGGCTTTCAGTCCAGTGCCTTTAGCTGCTGACCCAAAAGATGCACCTAACATAAGGTAGACAGCATTTCTTATTGGAACTTCCTGCAGAGGGCAGTACAGAAATGTATCAGTAAAAGGCAAGTGAAACTATGAGGTAAGCAGCAATAGCAACATATATACATTTCTAGGCAGACACTGGGAATAAAATGTTACCAGATGCATTTCTGGTGAACTTACCTGAATCATCTGGTTCATAATGTCATGTATTGTCGTTTTGATGATCAACACCTCCTTCCTCGACTCTGCCAAACTCATAGGATCAGGACTGCCAAGAGTATCGAGTGCATTGAAAGAAAAAGTAGAAAATGGACAGATGCACACACCATCTAACTCCACAACTTTATCAAGAGCCTTAGCAGATCCCCGGTTAAGTAGGCGGAAGGTACTTTTCTTACCCACATATTCTGTATAGTTCTGCAAAACCAATTGCAACAAGAGAGGGTGAGAAGATCCCTAAAGCAGCAAACATACAGCTGAAATTGGTATAAATGGTCACCTGAATTGGAGCACCATTTTCTCTGATGACAACATCATAACCATCAATATCTTTCCCAAACCTTGTTTTCAAAAGATCACCTGAATTACCAATAACAGCACAGCTGCCAAACTCTTTGGGAAGGTAAGGTGGTGTTTCAGGTAACACCAATTTGAGCTTCTCCATACATAAAGTTTTATTCTGACATCTGTTGCTGCATTTCAAAGAGCATTGACATCAAACTACCAGTCATAACAAGGTCAATTCGTATACGAGGAAATAACGTGAGCTCACAGACAAGTCTCAGGGTGACTACATACAGCTCAATTCCTTTATTGATCCGACGCCATGCGTAGTCCTCCCATCCATTTGGCAGAGCATCTATGAATTCCTTTGTAAGTATGGTAGTACTGTTCCTAACCTGTCAATCAACTCACTAAATAATAAATCAATTGCAAAGCAGAGTCCAAGCAAAATCGAGGTCGCAAGCCACAATTTAAATAGTCTACTGTCTGAAACACCAGACTCACCTGCTCCCAATTTGCCACTGCTTCACATAGATTGAACTCAAAGGACAAACCTTCGGGTTCTCCAGTTTTAGGGTCCTTCTGTTAAAACAGAAGCAAATTCACAAACCATCAGTGGGTATTTTTTCCGCTCTTCCCCATAATAAATTAAGAATGCAGGATATGATTTCGCACCCATTTAGAGTCGGTGTTGCTCGGAAAATTAATGGTGACCATGCAGTAATCGTTCCCGGGGAAAGCCTGAAGACCTAATCCATTAGCATTCTGACAAGTCGCCACCAAAGAAGTTGAGATGAGGAGTAAACACTCAGCTGAAGAATCAAGACAAGCATCCAAGAAACTAAAAAATATCAAGAGGGTTTAGAAGAAAATGCCACTTATACCACGCACTTCTTGAAACTTGCTTGCAGAGATTGCAACGCTCCAACTTCTTCACTGGACAGTCTCTGGATCCCATCTGAAGCACATTACCAAGTCAAATCGGTGTAAAACGAGAAAGAGAGAAGCTTTGCCACGAAAGGTAATTTCAGAAAACTGAAATTGAACTGGTCGACAATGCATGGAAGGAAGGAGAGAAGATGGTTACCGAAATTGGTGACGCCGTTGATGTAGATGAGAATGGCAGAGAGTCCAGACGCCAAAGCGACCAAGAACCCAATCTGCAGAAGCCTCATTTTCCGGATCAATCTGCAGGGTTGTAAGGGAATTACTCTCCGGGCCTTTCCGCCGGTGGATTTGTTCGGATCTGAGAGGAAAGAGCAATCCAGCAAAGCGAAACCGCGAAAGAGAAGCAAAGGAGCTACTTAGTAACGATCAGAGAGACAGTTGATCGAGCTGCCGAAGAAGCAGCGAAGACCGAAAAGCGGCGCCGTGTAGAGTGCTTAATGGGCCGGGAAGAAGTTTTATTTATCGGGCCGGTGGAGCTAGCGGGGAATCAAGTCTACCCACCATATACAAAGTGCTATAGCCGAGTGGAGAGGCCTATGATTATGAAAGCCTTGCGCCGAGTGGAGAATTTTGAAACGAGTGAATTTAAGTGAGCCCGCTTGGCCCGATGCCTTTGTTTGCATCTTTTGCATCAAAATCATTCAAGATTTATTTTGATTTGAAAATTTTATGATTTAAGAATTTAACGTTAAGGTTTATAATTTTGAATTTAGGGTTAGAGTTCAAAAATGAAAGGCTTTGGATTTAGGATAATACATTGATTAGTTGTAATCTTATATTATATCATCATATTAAATTAATATAACCATTTGAAATTCAAAATTCGATGTTTTAAGTCTAATTTTAAAATTGGTGCATAGTATGTACTCATTTTTGTGAGTGCACAGAAGAAACCACTATACACACACTAAAGTTAATTAGTCAGAGTAAGGGGTGTGCACTAGGACGGTCCGATTAGAAGAATTGCAACCAAATAGTGAAAGACATTTTTGGACCAAAGACCAGAGCAACAGTGCATTCAGTCTGCTGTTGGTCTGGTTTGGTTCGTTCCAAGTAGCTTGATCGATAGGGAGAGGAACGAAGTTGGAAAAAGAAGAATTCTAGTTATAAGATATCTAATGATAGAAGGCAGAAGAACGAAGTAGCGAATTAGCTTGATTGGGCATAGAAAGCGACCCCCTTGAGGTAGACCCTGAAGAGCAAATATTTTAGATGATAGGGCAACTCATGGAAGAAGGAAGTAGGTCTCTCAATTTCCTCAGATATAATAAGTGAGCAAAAGTGCTTTGAGAATGCGAAATAGAGAGAGAGAGAGAGAGAGAGAGAGAGAGAGAAGGGTAATAAAGAATCTATATTTCTTATATCGCCGACCCACTTCCAGTTCAAAATCTCATAGATTAAGCCCTTCGCTCATTCTTATTGTTCAAATGCTTTCCCTCGACTATGATACTAGCTAAGATTGTTATTGTTTTATTGACATATATATATAATAATAATAATGAATAATATAAATAATAGTATTATTATATTAACTATAAATAAATAATAAACAATAAGAAGTGAAATCCTATTTCATTTGAGTATATTTTAACTTCGTTCTTTCCTTCATGAATGATAAAATGACCACTGACTCGCTCCGACTACACCAATAAATTTCCAATTAGAATCCAAGTATAAACTCTAAGAGGGTTAGTTTAGGACAAGCGTTTTAAAATGTCAACCCGGGTCGGTCCTTGTACTGCTACTTCAACAGCTTAAAACGTTATCTAACAATCGGTTTTGAGTGAAAACTAAGGACTACAATATAAAACAAGCAAGAAGTTAAATTGTTTTGGAATCTATATGAGAAAACATCACCCGGGTATTGCTCCCCCTAGTCTTGTATCAAGTTGCAATAACAGAACTCTAGTGTGAGCTCTTATACCGTGAGGACGATGCAACTAGTGGAGAATTCCACTCTCTCAGGCAATCGATTAAGGAAAAGCAATTAAGCTAGGAAACCTAGTTCTCTCAATCAATCGGCCAAGGATTTCTAACCAATCCCTCGGAGGTTAGTCCGGAACGGCGACAAAGGGATAACACACAATCAAATCGTGATGCTAAATCGATGCTGGAGGTGTGTCCCTAGTTACCCTAGAAGGGGTTACCCAATTCGCAAAGAAGTGGGCAAGGAGGGGATTTCCTCCTTCTAGGTCAATTTGACCCAAATGAGATATGGAACCTAACACTCACAAATCATGAAAATACCCCAAGCACTATATTAAAACAAACAATAATCACACCTAGAGTTGAAATCCAAAAACCTACTACATCTCTAGCCTAGGGTTCACAATTCTCAAGTGAAAAGGAGAACTACTCCATAGCTAAACTAGGGATTACAACAAAGTAGAGAGAGAACCATGGTATGTTGTTTGACATCATTTCTTGTTGTTGAAATCACCTTTGGAAGAGGAAAAACCTTCAATCCTCTAGTTTGGAGTAAATCCTAGACCTCTTCTTCTCTCTTTGTTTGTTAGTTTCTCTCTCTGAAATCAGAAGAAGATGGTAATCTCTCACTAGGACCCCTTCAAGTTTCAGCTCCCTTTTCCTTTTATACCCAGATCGCACGCACATCACGAACAATTATCACGGGCGTGATCTCGAAGCTTGGACCATGACGTCGGTAAAAAATGCACTATTTCATTTACGACTTTCACGATCTGAACAGGATTATCACGGTCTGGCGACCGTGATAACTTTTAGGCCCGCAAGGTGTACAAAACTCTGTGGTCGTCGCTGAGCTTCACGGTCTGGCCCTCTTCTTCATGGTCGGATGACCGTGATAAAGTTGCTCTAACCGCGATCTTCGCCTGCTAGCTAGGGGTGTACATGGGTCGGGTGGTCCGGGTTTAGACATTTTAATCACCCGATCCATGCACTACGGTTTGAAAAATATTAAATTCAAACCCACCCAAAAAAAATATAAACCCTACTGTTTGTTTCTAATTGGGTTGGGTCGGGTTGACGATATTTTTAAGTAAAAACCCAACCCAACACAAAATATGTAAGTATTCTACACCATAAAAATATTTTATAACTAATTAAAATTTCTTTTTTTTTTTGTAGAAAGGACGACGCAAAAGCGCCTAACTCATATTAATAACACGTTCATGGGATATACCCATTACATCATGGCGAAGCCAACTAACTAATCCAGAATCTCTAACATTGAGATTGTGTGTACCAAAACTAAAATCATGGCCGAGATTCGCCAAGTAATTGGCTGCAAAATTGGCCTCTCTGTACACGTGATCCACTGTAACATCCCATTCGAGACTGAGAAGATGGCTAAACTGATGTGCAATACTACCATGTCTATGCTCCTCTTTGTCCCTATTCCTGATGACATCGATGGCTGTGGTAGAGTCCATCTTAAGATTCACCTTTCGATAGCCCTTGTTCCACGCAATTTTCAAACCCTCAGCCGCTCCCTTCAGTTCAACTGCTGTTATGGAGCATCTCCCAAGGTTGTAGGTGAAGGCTTCCTTGCAGTAACCCAGATGATCAAGTAGTAGTCCTCCTGCTGTTGCAGCACCTGTTTGTGGCAAAACCGAGCCATCATTATGCAGCTGGATCCATCCTTCTGCTGGTGGTTCCCATCCAATATAGGTATAAACATTGTTCTTTCTTGTGATTGACGTCTTCTGAACATCCTCCTTTGCTTGGCAGACTATCCGGAACCAGGCTTTAATTCTCAACAAAAGTCCTTCTTTGGAGAAGGCTTTCCCATCAATTGTTTCCTCATTTCTTTGCTTCCATAAGTGCCAGCAGACAATTCTAAAGTCGATTCCTGTGTCCTCGTTTTGCAGGTTAGCAAGCAACTAGTCATGGAACTGAAGGCTTCCACTTCTTTCTGCAAGTTTGTCAGTCATTCTTTCCCAGACAGCCTTGGCTTTCTTGCAATTTCGAATGATGTGTTCAATAGTTTCTTCAGGCTCCTGGCAGTGTTGGCATGAGCTGTCTTATGTGAGCTTCCTTCTGGCCCTCTCCTTGTTGGTGTAGAGTCTATCATGGAAGACAAGCCAGAAAAATGCTTTATTCTATTAGGGACCTTCCATCTCCAGAGTTTCTTCCATTTGGTGCTTGGTTCTGCTTCCTGGTCATCAGCAACCAGCCCATAGGCAGACTTCAATCTGAATCGTCCATCCTTCTCTAGTCCCCAGATTATCTTGTCTTCGCCCAGGTTAGGATTGGGGGCCTCCATTCCTGCAATAGAAACCAGAATGTCATTAGGTAGGACCTGTTTAAGTCTTCCCCAATCCCACTCACCTTCCTCTGTAGTCCATTCAGCAACTGAAGAGTTTTTTTCTTCCTCTGAGAGGTCAGTAAGGAAGAAGTCTTCCAAGTAGACCCCATTTTCCAACCATGGCCGGCACCAGAAACTTGTTGATTTGCCGTTCCTAATGCTCCAACACGTAGCTTCCTTCATCAGCCTCATGCCTTTGACAATGGCCTTCCAGAGACTAGAATGGTTGCTCTTCTTCATTCCTTTGATCTCCCCATTCTGCTGCTTAAAATACTTCCCCTGCAGAATTTGAACCCACAGATCAGACTCCTTGTTCATAATATTCCAGCTCAATTCAATCATGAATGCCATGTTCATGGCCCTAGCAGACTTTAAACCCAATCCCCCTTTATCTTTAGGCTTACAAACATTTTCCCAGGAGACCTGGTGGGATTTTTTCTTTCCATTCAAAGATCCCCAAACAAAACCTCTAACTTTCCTGTCTATTGTTTCACACACACAGAGAGGTAGAGGAGTGGTTTTCATGGCATACGTAGGAAGGGCATTCAGGACAACTATGGCAAGAGTGACCTTGCCTGCAAGGGACAGGTTTTTGGCTTTCCAGGAGGACAGTTTCTGGTCAATCCTATCAATAATATATTTATATGTATTAATGGTAAGACGACCATGTAAAACAGGAACACCTAGATATCTACCAAGGTCACTAGTGGCTTGGATTCCAAGTCTGCTACAAATTTCCTTCCTATTCTGGTTGTTCACATTCTTAGAGAAAAGTACTCTTGATTTTTCCTTGCTGACCATCTCTCCTGAAGTAAGACAGAAACGACTCAAGCAATCTAAGATGGTGTCTGCATTCTTCAGGTTGACCTCTGCAAAAAGCACGATATCATCCGCGAAGAACAGATGGGAGAGGGCTGGTCCTCCAGGGGAGAGCCTGCAAGGTTTCCAGTTTCCCTTGTTCACCTCACTCAGGAGAGGCATGAGAGATGAAGCTAATGGAATGGACTGTTTCCACTTTTCACTTTTCCACTTTTTTCCACTTTTCCTAGCCATGGAATGGACTGTTTCCTGCAGAATGATGATATTATCAGTAATGTGTCTATTAGGAATGAAGCTAGACTGGTTTTTCTTGACCAGGAGAGGCATGAGGGGTTTCAGTTTATTTGCCAGAATCTTAGCAACCACCTTATAGCTCACATTACAAAGACTGATAGGCCTAAACTGCTTCATAGAAGAGGGACTGTCAGTTTTGGGAATTAAAGCCATGAGGGTTTCATTCGTGGATTGGATTCTACAAGGGTTGCTGAAACTGGACAAAATGAAGAGAGAGAAGTCTTTCCCAATGGAGTTCCAACATTTCTGGTAAAAGATGGTCTGGAATCCATCTTTCCCAGGGGCCTTGAGACCATTCATGTCCATAATCACAGTTATGATCATATCCAGGTTAGGTTTATCCCCTAGACTACCAAGCAAAGCATCCCTAATCGTAGGAAAATTAACAGCCACACAATGGACATCTCTATCAAGACTAGAGGTGAAAAGGGTGAAGAAATAATCCCTGGCCAAATTCTGGAGGGTCTCTTCATCATCAATCCATTGTCCTTGATCATCCTTCAAATAGGTGATCTTGTTCCTTTTCCTTCTACTGAGAGTGCTATTATGAAAATAGCGGGTATTCAGGTCTCCTCTGAAAACCCAATTAGTTCTGGATTTTTGGATCCACAACAACTCTTCTTGCCAGAGAGTTCTTTCCAGTTCTTCTCTTATGCTTTGTTCTTTTTCCAGTGAGCTGGTAGTTTGACTTCTTCCATTTAGAATTTCCAGTGCTTTGAGTTCATTAAGCAGCTGTCTCTTCCTCTTGAATATGTTCCCATACACATCTTCATTCCATTTCTTTAGCTCCTGCTGGAACTTCTGCAAGGAGTAGGGGAACTCACAACCAGTAGTCCATGAAGAGGAAAGAAAAGGAAAGAAATTGCCATGAGCATGCCACGAGGCCAGGAATTGGAATCTCCTCACATGTCTTTGTTGTCTTGTGTGATCCATTGTGTTGGTGAGAATAGGCCTATGATCTGACTTGATCTTTGGGAGATGGAACACAGTTGTCTTAGGGAACCTTGCTTGCCATTCATTGTTACAAAGGCTTCTGTCAAGTCTCTCCTTCAGTCGAGAGCCTCTAGTAAATTAAGTGAAGTTTGGTCCTTTGTATCCCAAATCCACCAGTTCACAGTCCTCAATGCAGTTATTGAAAGCTCGGGTCTTAGCAAAATTGAAAGCAGCTCCCCCTTGTTTCTCCCATGACCGTGAGATGGAGTTGAAATCTCCAGTAAGGAGCCAAGGAAGGTGAACACCTCTTTCAATAGTCCTAAGTTGATCCAAAAGCCCCTCCCTGTCATGGTCGTTGGGGCTAGCATACACAGCAGTAAGCAGGAAACTTGCAATCCCCCCCAATTGAGCATTTCAGGTACAACAGTTGCTTTTGTCTATCTAAAACTTCCATTTCCATACAAGGGTCGTTCCAAAGAACCTAGATCCCTCCACTGAATCCAGTAGCATCAGAGACCTCCCAGGATTCATAATCCATTGATTTTATGACAGCAATGGCCTCATCTCTACTAATTCTGGGCTCCAGAATGCAGGCAAAGTCAGGTTTGTGATTATCTTTGTATAACTTGAAAGTAGGCAGGAAGTTGGAGTGCTCTGCACCCCTACAGTTCCACGAGAAGACTTTAACCATAGTAATGGATAAAAGAGTGCTTCCCTTTATGACCTAAAGTCAAGACTTAGTTAGTCTCAATGATCATGGCTGTCTTCTCATCTTCAGCAGAGCAATCCAGGTCCACTGTGGTGAGCTGTTGCACATTCTCAGATGCTGTATGGATATTCTCCAGGTTACCATTGAAGACAATTTTCCTGGAAATATCACTCCCACTTTCAGGGGAAATCACAATCATTTTGGAATACTCCTTTGCATCATTACCCGGTGGAGATTCCTTCATCTTAGGTTGATGTCCCGTTTTTGCAACATCCAGATGTTTCTTGTCACTTGCCTGCTTACCAGTTTTGGGGTTGGGAGTTACTTCTTTCCCCTTCTTACCAGCTTGCAGTTTGGATGTTGCAGGTAGTTTCTCCGCTCTTGTCTGGTTACTGGCTTCATTTTTCAAGTATGGTTGTGCAGACACACTCTTCTTAGATGTCTCAGTAGTCTTCATTTTTTGCTTGGTAATTTCAGGGGAAGTCTTCTGGTTCTCCTTCCTTTCGTGCAATTTCTGGTCCTTAGTCTTCTCTTGCGCTTTCTCCATTGCCTGATTTTCTTTGTTCTTCCTTGTCTTTACATTCCGATTTTCCCCTTTTGTTCCAGCCTGAGCATTCCTTGGTGTTGTACCTTTCTCTTTTCCATTGTCCTTTGCTTGACTCGATTCCGATTGCTCATCTGTGGTTCCATCTTCATCATCTGTTTCCTCTTCGATTTGCTCACTCAGTACATTGAACCTAGAGCCTGTGTCATCCTTCCTTTGATTTTGTCATTCTCCTTTTGGTGTTGCTTCTTGGCCTCGCATTCTCTGTTGTGGTTTGTTCCTCTTCGCTCTTGAGGCTAGCATCCATGGCCCATGGTGTAGCAGGGCATCCCCCAGCTTTCAATGGGCATTGATTCTCAAGGTGACCATAGTAACCACAATTGACTGCTCTAAAACACAACACCTAACAATGGCCAAGTGTAACCAATGGAAGGGACTGCAGTATAGTGGCTCAAGTGATAAATATCGAATCCACGGGTCTCTAGAGTTACTATTACTCAGCTTCAGTTTATTATTTAGCAAATCAGATTAAGATGAAAGAACTAAAACTACTCTAGCAAACTACAGTTAAAGTTAATCTAATTACAGGTTGGGAACTCACTTAGGTATGATTCCCCCTAGCCACTAGCCAGACTAACGATTGATGATTTCCAACTTGTTTCACTTTCATTCACAATGCGGAGAATCCTTGAGTAGACCTTGAGTCTCGACTAAAGGAACAAGGCCCTCTTGAGTCAATTGCCTAGAGGGACGTATCCTTCTCTAGAACAACTGATCAAGGCGTTCTGAACTAGACTCCCTCTATCGAAAGAGGTTCTCAATCGATACAAAGCAGTGAATCAACCCTCGACTAAAGCAATCGATCCACTACTATCAATCTATGGTGCTCTATTGACCTAATCAGGTATTCCCTCTCATAGAATCAAAGCAGAATCAATAATTTCGACTAAAGCAGAATTGAATCATGAAAACATGCATAGATTGAATATGAACTCAAGATTATCCAGTCAGAGTACTCATACAATCATCCAATCAAACAAACATAGCTAGGGTTCCTCAAAACCTAAGTGAAGGGAAGTTACTCCATAGAGAAGAGAGAGACTGCAGTAAGAATCTTCAGATGATCAGTCTTCAAGTCCGGGCTTGTTCCTCGAGCTTCCAAGGCGAAGAAATCCTCCTTCTCTACTCCAAGAATGCTCTCAAATCGCCCTCTCTCTCTAGGGTTCGTCCCTTGGGTGTTTGGGATCCAAAACCCAGCTCTCCCTCTCCTTTGGTTCGGAATTTGGCTTAAAACCAGATTTCCCGACTCGCACGGCCAGGGTGCACGGCCGTGCATATCACCATTCTGGCCGTGCAACTCAAAACGCAGCGTGTCATTTAGTCGAACTTCAGCCCTCTCGCACGGCCAGGGTGCACGGCCGTGCGAGCTTCAGGGGTTGCCCGTGCGTGTCCTCGGCATAAGGCGCACGGCCATATTGCTCACGTGCACGGCCGTGCAGCCTCCCTGGTCTGCCCGTGCAGCTTGCTCAGCCTCTGTTTAATGCTTCGTTTCTCCCTCGTCCGGACTCCGAATCAGTCGCCGTTTGATCCCAGACGCTCGTAGTCTCGTCCTCTTTCGTTTCATAACAAGCTTGCACGCTTCTTTGTCCATAAAGTGAGGTAGAAATCCATTCTTCTTCAGGTCATGCCCGAGTTTCCTCTCTCGAATCGTCAATTGATCTCTGATTGACTTGAAACTTGCGCCTATGCTTCACTTTATGTGCTAGGACCTGAAATGGGACAAAGGAACACAACCTAGCATAAAATAGGCCACAACACACGAATATGCCCCTCAAACGGATAAGAACTAGGGGCGCAAACATGTGCAATTACATCGTTATCAAACTCCCCCACACTTAACCGTTTGCTTGTCCCCAAGCAAACCTAACTCAAACCAATGCAACTCTCCAGACCTCTATAGCAACAAACAACCTAGATCGTAGGTAGAGGACTTCCTAGATCATTTAGCAGCTTACGAGGTCAACCGACGCACAAGTCATCTCATAGCTTCTTCGGTCAGTCGGCATCATGGCAAACAGTGAACAGAGGACAAATGAATTGTGGATGAAGAGATTCTCAAAAACAAAAGATCATGGACTCACATTTTTCAAGGTGCTCGATTTTCTTTGAAGATGGTTGGAACCCCTTTTTTCTGTTTTGCTTGTTTTCTGTTATTTTTCTTTTCTTTTTTTCTTTTCAAGGGTCCCAACCTGCTCTTACCGGCCATGCCAGGAGCGGATGTCTCGAGCCTCGTGCGGGGGAAATACATGTAAGGGGGCTGGAGGTAGTAGGTGGAAATTGGGAACGGATTCCCGTCTCCCCTTACACACTTTCGCCCTATTCGCACGGGAGACGTTTATTTTGAAGCACATTTTCGAGCACCTGTTATTTTCAAAACATGATACAAGAGTCCATGACAGGTAGAAAATCCACAACACCACACAATTCAAGGGTCCTAAGATCACTAATTCACTCAATCAACCAACTTTATATGAAGAAGAAATGAGACTTCTTAAATGCATCAACATCCTCCATAGTGCTACACTACCTCCCTAGGTTGCATATTACTGTAAAGACTGTTAATTCAAAGCATACTGAGCAGGCAATTGCATGGAACACGTACTTGGAGCCCTCAAATTTAAAAATTTGGACAGTGGACTAGGCTCCAAGCACACAAACAGCCAAACATTCACCCGCATACATAATCGAACATCCCCCCACACTTAAGCACGACATTGTCCTCAATGGAGGAAAGATAAGGAGGGTAGAACGAAGTTACCAGATCAAGGGTGAATGATGGTGGACGGGGCAGGCGGTGTATTCCCAGAAAGAGAGAGTAATCAGAACACAAACACCACACAAAATCTCACAAAGGTTGAGTTATTGACTCTAAAATCAAATAACAAAACTGACTCAACCGAGGAGAAATAGAGAAAGAGATGCAAACCGACTGGTTGGGTTGCCTCCCAACAAGCGCTTCTTTCACGTCGTGAGCCGGACGATGGCTCCTAAGTTTCGGTCCATGCTAGAACCTCCTTGAAGTTGAGGTTCTCGTCGATGAGGTGGAGTCTCAAGTCATGAGCATGTGGTGTGGCAGGTGATGAAGGCTCATGTACTTGATGCAGATGAAGTCTCCACCCTCGAGACCTCTTCTTCTCTTCTCTCGTCTCATTGCCCCAAACCAGATATGACAACATCGATTGGCCACCATCGCGTCCACCAAGAGGGACCGATGTCGAGGTGGCCTTGGTCTGGCAAAGAGACACTGCAAATGGGTCCTTGCTAAGCAGTTCCTCGAGGTTTGGTGGAGATATCACATGTAACTCATGGCCGGTGAAGGCCTCTTCCACCTTAACTCCGTCCTCAGCCTGGACGCCAATTGCTTCTTCAACCTCCCTTCCTTCTTCATGTGGTATCACCCCTGGGAAATGATCAAGAACTTCTCCACCTTCACTTTCGCCATCCTCCACAACTTCTTTCTGCACCCTTTCTTGCTCTTCTTCTTCTAGCACGGATTGGAGAGCAAGTTGCCAAGCAATTTCTTTCATGAGATCTTCTTGCATCTCCTCACTCATGCCCGCCTCTTCAAAGCTCAGTTTGGGGTGTGGGAAGGTGTGGTCGGCTACGACATGACACGCCTGATCATGATCATCACGGGAGCTCTCCGTGACAACTTCAATGTGTTCCACAATGCCCTTGTAGCCTTCTTCTTCCTCCTCCTCTTCTTTTATGGTAGCAGAAGGGTGATCAGGAGCAGGTTGCGCCCAAGATCGCTCAAGATCATCGACGCTCTTCTTAAGGCTCAGGAGGATCTCATCTGTTTCACGATAGGCCTGGACACACTGATCCATCCTGGAGCATGTTCTCTCACAGTCTCGAGCAAACTGCTCCATGAGTAACTCCAGCGCCGATGGCCCTTCTGGTTGTGGGAGAAATTCTTCTTGATAATGAGGTTGTTCTTGATATGCCCAGGGGTCCGGTTGTTCTCCGTAGTAAGGGGGTTGGTACTGGAACCCGAATCCATAGTCTTCTCTGCCTTGATTGCTCCAGGGAGTCTCGGGGTAATACCACCCAGATGGTGGTGGATACCCCCAATTGTTGGAGAAGCCATGAGGATCCATGATTCAGATCTGCACCAACAAAAACAAAAACACCCAAGTGAAAAGCAAGGGTGGAAAAGAAAAGAAAAACGCTAAAGTAACAAACTTCTGCCTTTCCTAATACTCTAGAAAGTCCCCGGCAACGGCGCCAAAAACTTGACTGCTCTAAAACACAACACCTAACAATGGCTAAGTGTAACCAATGGAAGGGACTGCAGTATAGTGGCTCAAGTGATAAATATCGAATCCACGGGTCTCTAGAGTTACTATTACTCAGCTTCAGTTTATTATTTAGCAAATCAGATTAAGATGAAAGAACTAAAACTACTCTAGCAAACTACAGTTAAAGTTAATCTAATTACAGGTTGGGAACTCACTTAGGTATGATTCCCCCTAGCCACTAGCCAGACTAACGATTGATGATTTCCAACTTGTTTCACTTTCATTCACAATGCGGAGAATCCTTGAGTAGACCTTGAGTCTCGACTAAAGGAACAAGGCCCTCTTGAGTCAATTGCCTAGAGGGACGTATCCTTCTCTAGAACAACTGATCAAGGCGTTCTGAACTAGACTCCCTCTATCGAAAGAGGTTCTCAATCGATACAAAGCAGTGAATCAACCCTCGACTAAAGCAATCGATCCACTACTATCAATCTATGGTGCTCTATTGACCTAATCAGGTATTCCCTCTCATAGAATCAAAGCAGAATCAATAATCTCGACTAAAGCAGAATTGAATCATGAAAACATGCATAGATTGAATATGAACTCAAGATTATCCAGTCAGAGTACTCATACAATCATCCAATCAAACAAACATAGCTAGGGTTCCTCAAAACCTAAGTGAAGGGAAGTTACTCCATAGAGAAGAGAGAGACTGCAGTAAGAATCTTCAGATGATCAGTCTTCAAGTCCGGGCTTGTTCCTCGAGCTTCCAAGGCGAAGAAATCCTCCTTCTCTACTCCAAGAATGCCCTCAAATCGCCCTCTCTCTCTAGGGTTCGTCCCTTGGGTGTTTGGGATCCAAAACCCAGCTCTCCCTCTCCTTTGGTTCGGAATTTGGCTTAAAACCAGATTTCCCGACTCGCACGGCCAGGGTGCACGGCCGTGCATATCACCATTCTGGCCGTGCAACTCAAAACGCAGCGTGTCATTTAGTCGAACTTCAGCCCTCTCGCACGGCCAGGGTGCACGGCCGTGCGAGCTTCAGGGGTTGCCCGTGCGTGTCCTCGGCATAAGGCGCACGGCCATATTGCTCACGTGCACGGCCGTGCAGCCTCCCTGGTCTGCCCGTGCAGCTTGCTCAGCCTCTGTTTAATGCTTCGTTTCTCCCTCGTCCGGACTCCGAATCAGCCGCCGTTTGATCCCAGACGCTCGTAGTCTCGTCCTCTTTCGTTTCATAACAAGCTTGCACGCTTCTTTGTCCATAAAGTGAGGTAGAAATCCATTCTTCTTCAGGTCATGCCCGAGTTTCCTCTCTCGAATCGTCAATTGATCTCTGATTGACTTGAAACTTGCGCCTATGCTTCACTTTATGTGCTAGGACCTGAAATGGGACAAAGGAACACAACCTAGCATAAAATAGGCCACAACACACGAATATGCCCCTCAAACGGATAAGAACTAGGGGCGCAAACATGTGCAATTACATCGTTATCAACAATAAAAACAAACGGTGTGAAGACCTTCATATTCAATTCTCCTAACCCTTCGTTTGATCCTATACTTTGAAACTAGTCTCTTTCTCAGGTCAACTTCCACACAGATTCGAGCGTAGTTACCTCGGAATCCATTCGCAGTGTTGTAGTCGATCTTCTCAACTCTTCCCAACTTGTTCCCAATATCCATAAGTATTTCTTCATCGAAGTATACCAGGGGGGCGGGGCAATCTGATCCAGAATGAAGCTCTGTTGATGGAATCGTAATCTGGATCAAAATCCAGCCTCCATGGCTCCGAAACTATGCAATGGTCGTCAATTGTCTAGGGTCCCCCGTAAAGAGCTCGGTCATGATCCAGCTGGGTGTCGAAAATGGCTTGGCAATACACATTCCCGATATCCCCAACCTTAACCTGACCCGTTTTTGCCCACATTTTTTGAATTCTTCTTTGAGTAAAGGCAAAGGGGAAGTTCTTACCCAGGACTCTGAAAGTGATTGCTCTATTCCAGCGCTTCTGTATTCTCGAGTTGGTGCGTTTCTTAATCCAGATTGTTGGGCAATCAGGATCATCGTCCCCATCCTCTTGTTCTGATTCATCCGACATTAGGTCGTCTCCTTCTGGCTCCTCAGTTGATGGATGGTTTCCAATCACTGAGTCTTTGTAGGAGGATCGAATTGGTCCCTGTTTCTCATCCTTTGATTCTTGATTGTCTTCCTCACTTGGAGTCGTCTTCTCATTACGTACCTCGTCACTCTGATTCGTCGCCGTTATGACAGCAAAATCCATCTCGCCTTGACCAGAGAATCCCTCGCTGGACCACGCCTTTGCTTTCTTGCTTGGTTGGACTGGCGAGCTTGCCGAAGAGCCATCAGGTGGCTTTAGGCAGTGGTCGGACTCCATCTCCGATGGCTGGGCGTCAACGGTCATCGCGTTCAGAGATGAGAGAGGTCAGAGCTTTTCTCTCAATTAAAATTTCAAACGAATAAACCGAGGCGAAAGGTATCAAAATTCACCAATGTTGTTTGAATTTTAATAAAATTTGATTTACTTCAACTTATGTCTATTTTTTTTTCACGACGTTTGTTGAAATAGGCTAAAAAGGTTACAAATTAACGCATCCATAATATGTTATTCTATTAAAATTGTACACAAGAAAAAGAATTACGTGAATCATGGCGAAATATTAAATTTATGTATAAACTTTAAGCCAAAAAATGCATTAGATTAGGGAGTCCTTAAGAGAAAAACATGGCGAAATATCTTGATTTTCTCATAAGTATGGCTATATACGACATAAATATATTTTTGGATACGAACTCATACCAATAATTGGAACATGGGTTGGGTCGATTCTACGGGTTGTGTAATCCAAAATCCAAACCCAACCCAAATGAGGCGGGTTGTACAAAAGAAAATCCTCACCCAACCCAAAACCTTCGTTTTAGCGATAAATACGGGTGGGTTGAGTCGGGTTGGACGGGTGGGTCGGTTTGCGGGTGTGTTTGTTCACCCCTACTGCTAGCCCTTTTCGATCCGCTTTCGCCCTCTTTCGTTCAACTTTCGCTTCCAAGGCTAGTCTCACCTGCTAGAACCTGAAACATGCACAGCCTAGAGTAAAATCTAACCACAAGTGATGTAAATGCCTCAAACACCACAAGAACACGGGGTGAAAACATGTGCAATTAGACACGAATCAACCACACAAATGTTCACACCTCGCACAAGTATAGCGCATGTACTCTCTCACAACATGGGGTACAATTTGACATGTAAACTCGTCCTTTTTTCTTTAGTATTTACAAAATTCATGAAATCAATGACCGAGTCATATTATATTCAGTACGGTGTGGTCCGATCCAAATATTGATTTGATCTGGTGCGCTCTGATATGAACCAATTCGTTGTACACCCATAATTAAAGCTAGCTTTAGCTAGTAGGAGCTCACAATTATTTAACATAGAACACTATTTCGGTTCTCCTTGCGAAAACATACGAGGTCGTTCAGTTTGTACTACTAGATTAAAGGGCCCATCACCAGCCGCAGATGCATGGTGGTTTAGGGTTTCCGGGGACACCCCTAAAATTTGGAAAAATGATTATCAAATCTTGGATAATAATTTGTGTATGAGTAAAAAAAATATTTAAATGGTAGCGGGACACCCTTAAATTTGGAGAAAAGATTATCCATCCTCCTGTAATGGTTTGCGTATGAGTACAAATAATATTTAAGTGGTACTCTATGTGATTTGAACTTGGGAAACTGCTACTAAACATATTTTCAATTAGACTACAACTGATTTGTATAGATCCCAATATAATAGTAAAAGGCTATTCTTATTCCCAATTATATTCAAAACCTAACGATAAACCCAATTACTAGCTATCCTTGTCTAATAAGATATGTCGAGAGAGATTTGATGGACAGTGTAGACACCAAATATATTTTACCATGTATTCATAATATGAAACACGTTTGAACTTTTATTGCAACTTTTACCAGGTGAATATTTTCATATTTAACAATTTTCAAATTTAATTTAATTTTTGGGAGAGGACCCCATATCTTGGATCCGCCACTTTATATAACTCCCTAATGTATTTGGTTGCATGGGATTAGACGACCCAACCCATATAGGTTCCTTTGGATCGATCTTCCGACACTTGAGAGCAATTGACAAGATGTGGGTTGTTTTAGGTGTAAACCAAGTTGCATTATACGTACATGCACCTTTTACATGTTAGATGGTCGACATAATTAATTAGGGTTTTAGAAAATTATTGAGGGACATGTAGTACAATATTATAGTATATAGACACATGACACAACTACAACATGGTATATCTACACACAGGGGACAGCTTGACGGCAAGCTAGGTGGACTGAATTCGGCGATGTCAATGCTTCTTGCTTGGCCATGCCATACCGCGATGGGCAAAGTCAGGGAGGAGCAAGGAGGGTCCTTATATCAGTTGCCTTGTCTCTTTTTGTCTCCAACATGTAAGGAACAACAACGAACCTAAGTTTAATTGCGCTTTGTCCTCATCATGATATCTCCTTTCTGCTCCCTTATGCATGCAATGGGGTATCCTAGAAGAATGTGGACTAGAAAATTTGGTAGGTCGGATATGCATCTACATCTACGTAGTCAAATAAAAAAATTTGAAGTTCTATTTCAAATTTCCTGCATCAAGAGTAAAAGTAGAAATGACATTTTGGTATTCACAATTTTTTTTTATTCATTAAAAAGACACTTACTAGAATTCGAACCATGACCACTTTAAACAAAAACAAAGATCATAACCAATCACACTAAGTACATTTGTTGTATCTTTTTAAATTAAAAACATACAATCGCAGAGAGGAAAAAACCCTTCACCCATTTCAAATTCTCTGCTCCAGGAGCGTTTGTAGGAAGGGTAGAATATGGAGTTTCAATTTTTTTCTTTTTCCTCTGTGAAACGGGCCAACTTACCGTACACATGCTGATTTAAACGGGTCCAGGAGTGTCAATTTTTTTCTTTGAGTCCTTTTATTTCTCAGTGGTGGTAAAATATATATGAAAAGGAAAAAATTAATACTCCTTTTTATTGCTAAAAAGAAAAAAATTTAACAATAAACTAATGCATGGATTCTAATGGGCTAACCGCTAATCATAAAATAAAAGAATTGAATGGCCTGATCTACACGGGATTTTCCCATCAAATAAAACAAATGAACATCATGGGTTTGCCATTCTAAAACAAACTATTTTCTCTAGCATTTATATATTATGCTATTATTTTATATCTTAGTGGCTAAAATATAATGTATTTTAAAGTTATTCAATGGTTCAATCTCGACCAACCCAATTAGTCCAATTTTTATCATTTCAAATATATATTATGTAATTATTTGATATCATAATGATTAAATTATAGTGTATATTATAGGGAACCGTTTGGTATTTGTTAGTAAAAAACTAAACAGAAAGATCTATTTGATTATTTTTAACACTAAAACGATCCTAAACATTTTCAGTTACCTTTCGAAATTCTATATTTTTATTCCCGAATCAGTGATGTGCAAATGGCGAATTGCAATCATCTCTTTTCTTTCATTATTTTTTATTTTCAAATAGAAAGTTTAAAAGTAAAGAATAATTAGAGTTTGGCATGAGTCGGTCAAACAGTCTGAATTTCAAGTTTTGACCCGTTTTGATCAAGTCTAATTTATAATCACATGGTTCCCTGATACCCGATAAAAATCTCAATCCAAACTAGTTTTGGCAGGTGAGTCCGTGTTTACCACCATTTTCTAGGGATACAGGACGGTGGTTCCTATCCCAAATCGTGTTGTTCATTCTTGATTTCTTTAGATTTATCATGGTTTGGCAAAAAACCAGAAAGCACAATGATGACAAGATGAAAGTTTTATAAAGCAAATTAATCGGCCAACGGGCCAAGTAAAAGCTATAAACGATTGTGAGACGCTCATTTCCCGAAAACCGGCGGGATAAGTGATTTTTTATTCGATTTTCTGGAATTTGGTTTCTATAAAACTTACTCCACCTCATCATATTACCAGAAACAATATTGTTTCACAAGGTAACAGGTACTTGATTTTGGTTCATAAGGCTGATTTTTGATTGTTGCATCATTCATGTCTCTTTCCTACTAAAATTCACTATTTTTATCACGTGTTTCCCAAAAAAAAAAAAATACAACAATAAGCTATACACCCCATTACATTATTAAATTTCATAACTCACCTTCCTCCGGCCAAATGGTCGGGGCCCATGCTAGTTCATTACGTATATACTCCTACTTGTTTCCCTAGCGGTATGTATATGGTTAAGGACTGCAGGTAAGTGTACGCGCCTTACGTTTACGATACCGTATGTTGATCGAGTTTTTGTTATTTGACAAATGAGATTGTTAACATTCTATGAAAATATGAATTCTAAATTCGAGTTTTCGGCCAATATATATTGTTACTTACGGTTAAGATATTTAGATAAACACCCGAATATGTTGGTAAATGTAAAGCCAAATCAACTATTATACCTATATATATATAGGTAAATTAGACCTCTCAAAAAAAATTTCATTAATTGCGCAATCTGAAAACTCAGACCAATCAATAAGTCACCGTAGGCTTGACTAGAACGCAAACAAGTGGCACATATCTGGGTCTCTAAGTATCAGCATCAATATATAAATAAAAAAGTTGCAGATGTGCTAGCTGGAACAGCCTTTCTAACCTGACCTAACATTGAATACTTAAGTACAATATCAAGAGTTCAAGCAGTGTCACGTAGACATCATATAACACAATACACATATATTGTAGGCTTTGTTGAAAGAGATGCAAGCTCAGGGCCAATAGGCGACCATACGAGTATGTCGGCCGGCCCAAACAACACCCTCATAATTCGATATTTTACTCTTCAACATCAACAACATTATTATTATTATATATTGTTAATCCAACCAATGCCCGGTAATGCAGCTAGCATCCGGTAACACAACATGGCCCATGAGATGACGACTTATCCATTCGCAGAATTACACTTTCAGAGCATTTAGAGGTGCAAGCAAAGCAAGGCAGAGGCTTCTTTCAAGACTGTGATGGCGACCTCTGATGGGTCATCCTGTTGTTCATAGACTGTATAAGCCTGCCTGCTTGCTGCTTTGTGTCAGTTGCCCGGAGACTCAATGGGCCAGAGACCATCATCACATGATTGGTGGCTGATATCTTCGTTCACAAACGAGCTAGGACAAGTGTCGTAACTGGTATGACTACTATAATGTCGTGTGCTCTTGTGTGTAATGGCGCTTTTATTATTCATTGAAGGGGGAGGAGTTGGAGTACATTGTGGGCTTAGTTGTTGGAGTCGAGTAGTTGTCATGACGAAAGAAGAATCACAAGTACACATCTTCTTTGCAGAGTTATGCTTTTCTTTTTAGACAATGTCTGTGTTGATAGTTGATACATTTCTAGGGTGGTTTGGATGAGTTGGTGTGTAACGAGTTAATATAAAAATGGAATTCCTCACAAAATGAGAAAGTGGTATTTGTGAGTTGTGTAACGAGTTAATATAAAAGTTGAATTCCTCACAAAATGAGAATGTGGTATTTGTGAGTTATTTCACAATAACTACCCCTATGAGGTATTGACAATA